TGAGGGGCTGATTCTGCTGCATGCCCATAACACAAAGTCGTGCTGTTCTCACGGGCAGTGAACACAGCGACAGCAAAACATCCCAGGCAGATAGTGACAGACTCGGCTTGCACCAGCAGACTGCCAGTCCAGCATCTGGAGACCACAGCCAGCCCAGGCTGCACCAGGAATCAGGCTCTACTCTCAACAGCCACTGCACCCCAGCCCACTTCACCTGGCCATGGAGAGCTCCAGGCCCAGTGCAGCAGTAACAGGCACCACCTAAGATCATATACCACTCAGAAAACCGCACCAGGATCACACCATGAGCTGTGAAACCACAGGGGTGGGGAAAGGAGACAGGCAGCTGCCTCAAGCCTCCAATCCCAGTACAGTGCTGTGCCTCCAGCCGGCTTCCTGGCACAAGGGAGGGTTTGGTGTGCAAGGGAGATGCCAAACCTGAGGGACAAAGTGCAGGATAGGGAGGGCTCAGCAGACTGGGTTCAGAAACAGTTGAAATGAGATCAGTTGCATGTAGTGGAACAAGTCACTTGCCACTCTGCAGTCTAAGCAGAGAGGCAAACACTGTCCAGCCTTCTCGGGACCAGCACCAGTGTACTTACTGTGCTGAAATACTTCCCTCGGTCCCAGTGTCTGGGATTATCCTCTTTCCTACTACCCCTGGCCAAGTGGATCCCTATAGCTCAAAATAAACCTTGTTTAAAGACAGCAGTCACTGCAGCAAAGAAGGTTTGCCTGAAAAAGCTTTGATGAGCCAGCCTGCCCACATCCCCTCCCTAACAAGCCAGAAAAATGAAACTCTTTACCTCCACATTGACATTTCGGATCTGCACATTGATGAGTGAAAACTCCTGCTGCAGTGTTTGAGGCAGTCCCAGTTGGTCCGCTTTCTTTCCCACCAGGGGGTCATTCAGGAAATCTTCTTTTAAGGCTGTCAGGAAAGATGGGAGAACAGGATGAGACAAGCTATAATGGACAGACTTTTGGCACGTGATGCCAGGAGGCAGCCAAAACAGCATGCCCTCCTCTGTTTTTCTGACACATGGAGGTATGAGTTTTACCTGGCAAAGACCTGTGAGCTGTTGTTTAGAGGCAGGCTTCTGAGCCTTGCTCTTCAAAAAACGAAACCTGTCTGCACATAGGTTTCCCAGGAAGGCTACAGAAGCTACCTGTACTCTGAACAGCCCTATATGGTCTGTCTCTACTCATTTGAGACCCCTTCTTCTCCCTACACAGTGCTGCCAGTCACAAACAGCTGAACTGGAGCTTCTCAGCTCAGCGGGAAAAAGCTGCTGCCAAAGCAGTCTCCAGAAGAAGCTCTGGTCTTTGGGACTCACATCCCACCACTCCTGGCTTTCAGGGAACACTTCCAAAGCATAAGGCGGCTTTGGGAGAGAGAAGGGAGTATTTCTCACGCAGGCAGAGGCTTAACTCATTTGTAGCATCCATTTGCATTTAATGTTGCAAAGCACTCTACTGCTTTAACAGTCTTTAAAGGCTCATCTGAATGCTGGGTCTAGCTTTCCAGTTCCACCACCAACAGTTTTCAGGAGGACAATAACCCCCGAAGGCCAGAATACATTTAAACAGCCAGGCAAGCACTGCAGGACACAAGGAATTAACGCTTAAGAAAGCAAACTTGACTGAGTTTCAGAAGAATTGGTCTCTGCCTGTGGTCGCGCCTGGCTCTTGCCTTGACTCTTCATATGAACCCACATTAAGGCAGGGGCAGCTCCTCCTGAAGGGGGTTTCGCTGTGGCATCACTTCCTAAGAAGACTAAATGTATCTTTTGATGATGGTTCCAAGGACACAAGGGAAGTCCCGATAACTCGGCTGTCATCATCACGCTTGCAATAGCATATTGCACAGGCTATTCCTAGCAAAAAACATGAATGACAAGAAATGCAAAAAGGTGTCATTTTACAGGTGTTCGCCTAAAAGTTACTGACTTTGCTGTGGGACAAGTATATCTGGTTTTACTGCTGCCCAGTGGGTTGCTGAATTTGGATAGGTAGGATGCCTAGCTACTCATTCCTGTGCGATTTTATTATAGTGCTGAGACAGTACTTCACAAAAGGGAGCTGAAAAGGGGATTAAAGATCAGTGCTCTCAGGGAAGATAATTATTTCTAGTTCAAGACATCACACAGCTTACTAAAAAGCTATCTCCGAGGTTCCCAATATGGGCAGTACTCTCCTTTTGTCTTCTCCTCCCGTTCCCTTCCAATTAGTTTCTACTGCCCCAAAGCCCACATATATATCTAGATTCCTAAGATCCTTTATAGGCAGCAGCCAGCGCAGAGAGCTGTACACTAAAGACACAGCTAGTGGCTTTCTGATTTATCTGCAGACCGCTGCTCTCTTCAAAGATCTCCCAAAGTGCTTTACTAATATAACATGGAGACTTTGCAGCTGAAACGCAGACACCTCTAGGGCGAAACATCAACAGTCCACAACAGCTTTTAGGCTAGAAAGAACTGAAATTCCTACCTAGGGACTCGCTTGTGCATTGATCCTGCAGTAATGGTATTTGTAGCAAAATCTGCCCTGCTACAGAAAAGCCATTTTCATTCCCTTTAGCCACAAGGGAAACCCTACCAGTCCGAACCAAAGCCAGACCAGACCCACACAGAAACCACAAAGGACCTATGAATGTGTCCTCATCAGGGACGGTGAAAGAGTTAACTCTCACCATGGAAAAAGAGAGGTCAGGCAGCCAGAATTAGAACACAATGCTCCTAGCTGGAGCAAGAGAAGCTGTGCTTCCCCACATAGTACTGCTCCTGGTGAGCACAGGTAGCCAGGGCTTTTTCTACCATACTATAAAACCCTTACGTAGACAGAGGTGCTGATGACTTTTAGAAACTTGTTTTGCTGCCACATAGGTACTGGTGGCAGAGAGGAACTTCACTGGGATTTGCTGAGCATGAAACTTCCAGTTAGGAAGAGCTGCCTTCCCTAAGGGACCACACAATTGGCTCCTTTATTCAGAGGACAGTTACTAGACCACCTCCTCTCCTTCTCTTCAGTTTGTTGGCAAGTCAAAGGGAGAATCAAATTGCTGTTCTGTAAACTTCTCACATGGGGAGCCCCACTACAATACAAAAAGGAACTGTGAATTTAAACCCAAGCTGACACAAAGGCATGGAAGCACCCAATTCTGTTTCCTCAGCATTCGCTACAGAAATCTCTTTAGATAGCTTTTTCACACGCACAGCATCACCACGGGTCTCAGCTGCTGCAATCTCTTCTATTCTGTTACTTACACTCTTCAAACACTGACATCCTGAATGTTTAACCTGTCCAGAGCCTTAACCACACAAACACTCCTTCACATTCCCTCCTTGTATGCCTTCTCTTCCATAAAGCCAAATAAATGCTTTCTGTTAAAGCCTCTGACCCATTCTCACCCACCCATCTGGTACTCAGGAGTTGGAGATACTATCCCTCCCCCTCTGCTCTGCCAGCCTTCAGCCACCTTTCATTGATACATGAACAAAAATTCACAAGCTCTCTCCATACTGCTTCTGGTGGATGGGAGAAGACACCATCAAACATCTCCATGTTAGATCAGTTCACACAGTGACCCCAGCAGAAGTGTTTAGGTACCAGGTGTGATATAAGCAGCTTGTGTCAGAGCACTTCACCCATACACTCCTCTGTTCTGTGGGCTTATCTCTCAGCTTAAACTAACCTACCTTCTCAAGAGCGAGAACTTACTTTCCAATTGCCTTATTTTTGGCAGCAAGCCACAACTATGACCCAAAGAGAATGCAATTAAATGATATTAGTGGCGAGGAAGAGCTTCGTTTTACAGCTAGAATTGCTGTGTTAGAGGAGAAAAAACTTGGGAGGACCATCCTGAGAAACCCCTAGTGTTTTCCCTCCTCCCAGATGGGGAATCCATTAACCTCTGAAATAGCACCAGTTTGTGCTTTGTTTGCGATTTTATTTTCTTATGCCAAGATGCAGCATCTTCTTCCCAACACAAAGACAGCTGGTGTTTGAAGTTCCATGACCCATCGCTTGTCTCACCTTCCTCATCCCCATGCCCCATCGCTTGTCTCACCTTCCTCATCCCCATGCCCAGAATTATGCTGGGGCTCCGAGTCCTGGGGATGAAGGGTCTTGTCTGGCTCTGGCAGATGAGAAATCCCATCGATGAGGTCCTCGACTCCATCCAGGATATCATTAGCACACAGCTGAAAAGAACAAACACACCCACATGCTGCACAACAAAAACCAAGCTGTGGAAAGAGCCACCACTAAACAGCTCGTTTCTCCAGGGAGCTGGATTTGCCAAGGTAGGTCTGTCCACGCAACAGTCATGACTAAGACCTGGGCATTGTTTCTGTGACAAAGACAGGTGATCTCCACTCTCCAGCATCCTCAGCTCTGTCACCTCAGACAGCCTGGCCACATCTCCTGCTCACTTACAAAGCCGCTTAATTGACAGGGCCAGTCTAAGCAACAGAGGTTTTGCTTTAATCAAAACTAAAGCTGATATGACTTCAATTCCTTGAATTAATCTGTCAAAACTGGTTTAACGTTTTAGATCAGATATAATAGTAGCACACTTTCTGGTTTTGATATTTACACTCCACTAGGATCTAGAGACCCAGGCACATACTAGGGTCCCTAGTATTCTAGGTCCTGTATCAAAAAGCAACCATGAAAACTTGCATTTTAAGTTCAGCACAAGAAAACAGGGAAGGTGAAGAGAAGAAACATAGGGAGGAGAAAGGATAAGGGTGCAATATAGCAAATTACAGCATTGGTCACCAGCAACATGCCATCATGTTATAGTTTGATCCAGACAAAGACAGGGACAAAAGAGTGGGAGCCAGCAGAGGAAGAGTACAGGCTCTGACATGGATGAACAATTGATTTAAAGACAGGAAAAAAATCAAATATTCACAAATATATCAGGTAGGAGTAAAGGGTCATTTTTCACAGAGGAAGTTTATTACAGACCTGCAGGACTCCTGCAGGATCTGTGCTGGGACACATGCTTCTCAACATATTCATTAAAAACCTGGAATAGGAGGTGAATAGCAACATGACCAGGTTTGCTGACCAAGTCTTTCAGGGCAGTAACAAGAGTGACTGACTGCAAACAATCACAGAAGGACCTTACAGGAGTAACTGTATCAAAACGAAAGATGAACTTCAGTTCAGATAAATATAAAGCAATGCACATGGGGGAAAAAGCGGCAAATTCAAGCTGACTGAGGGACCAAGATGTAGGGCCAAACTAAGCTGATGTTTTCATGGAATTACGCCTGTCAATTTAAAAAAAAAAAACAAACTGAGTACTGAGAATTCTTTGGAAACAACAAAGTTCAGATCCCCATCCCAAAAAGTATATCATAGAACTGAAAAAGGGTCATGAAAAGCAAAAGGACAATCAAAGTTCTCATACAAAGAATGAAGTAAATCAAGACTTTTTGACTTGAAAAAAGAGGCAGCTGAGGAGGGATACGATGGAGGTCTACAGAATCATCAGTAACAGACAAGATGGCTGCTCATTTCCTCTTCAATGCAATGAAACTAGCAGGTTACAAAATAAACAAGTGAATGGAGGTGTTTTTCCACACAACATGCAGAAAAGCCATGAAATTCCTTGTTGATAGGATGTTTAAGATGGCAAAAGTTTACACAGGTCCAAGAAAGGACAGAACAAGTTTATGGAAGTGAAAGTCATCAAGCTCTGTCAAATACAAAGATGCCAGACTCAACGAGCCTCTAAGCTGCAAACCGCAGGAGACTGCCAGGGCATTTGAGAGAAACATCACTCCATACTTGCCTCGTTCTTATCCCCTTCCAAGACATCCACAGCTGAAGATGAGACAGGGCAATATGGGCCATCGTGGCCATAGGAACCTCTGATCTGACCCAGCAGAGCTGTTCTAGCAATTGCATGAGCAATCTGTAACTGCTGCCAAACAGCAGAGCAACAGGAGTCACACTGCCTGCACCAGGCTAAAAGGCAACAAAGAGAAGCGGAGGCAGCAGAGGGCACAGTCCCTACATTTACCTGATACCTAAAGTGCCAAGAAAAGTCTTGCAGCCATAGAGGTGGCATCTTCAGAGGCAATGCAAGCAGTAACTGATCTCCACCTTTCCCAAACAACTTCTATGCTTACTGTTATACAACAAAGCGTCCTCGCACTTCCACAGAAGCTTTCGAGGCACGGATACAGAGAGGCCTCATCACAGCTCTCCCTGGTGATGTTTCTGGGCTGGAGCTGAAGAGGAAAGCAAAGCAGCAGCTGGCTGCTGTGTCTGCAGCTCCAGGATATCAGAGGAGTGACTGGGAGTGCAAGGAAAGGGAGGTGAATCCAGCCTGTAAGAAAACTGTCTACGTTCCAGAGCAAGAGTGTTTACGTACCCTCTGCAGCTGAGAGTCAATCCGCCACATCCGCAGAGTCTGATCACGGGACCACGTAACCAGCTGGTAGTCTTTAGAACCTAAAAAGGACAGAAACAACTTATAGACCCCGTTGAAAACAGAGACTACCTCAGCCCTGCATTTACTGTAAACAGATTCAAGCAAGCCAGCAGGGAGACCCAAGGGATAAGGCACTAAACAGAAAGGCAGAGCGAGTCCTTTTCTGCTTTGAATGGACCAAGGTGCATCAGCCTTTATGTCTCCCCGCACCACAGTTACAACAGCTCTAAATGGGGTGTGATTTAGAGGCAAAAAGCACAAAGTCAATATAACATCAGAATGTGATGCAAGTTTTCCAACCAGGAACAAACAAGATCTACCACAATACTTACTTAAATAGAAGAAATAATATAGTTGAGAAACAGATTTATTTTTACGATAACTGTGAAGTCAAAATATCTTTTAGTTCATCATATCTGCTTCAAGATGCAGATGTTTTAAGATATTTCTAAGCTAAAAGAAGCTGGTTCTGCCCTTCCCCTTTTTCCTTCTGAAAGACTCGGATGATGCCAAGACAAGTTCAGGTTGTAATGAAATACATCTAGCCACATACTATCTATCAACAGATAACGGTACACAGACTTATTTATGCCCATGTTTAGGCCTTGTGCTAGAGTTTAAGTTTCCCTTGTCAAACAGCTGCTACGCTTGAGAATTTGCTGTTGCACAGCTGCTTCCTACACTCCTCTGCTGAGGCACAGGGGCTGTCTAAATACAGCACAGCACTCTGTGGAAGGAGATTTGCACTATCTTGATTGTCTCCAGACTGAAGCAGACTTGGATGCTTGTATGATTGATTTACATTGCTTCAGACGAGCTGGACTTCCAGCCTCAGATATGTATCTAACTCAGCTAAGACAACACAACTGTGGTTCAAGCCTGCTTGAACATTCAGTCACATGCTGTCTTAGACTGCACCTCCAGATCCTAACACAGTTCTATGTTGCTCCCCTCTTTGAAAGAGGAAAAGCAAGGTACAGAGAAGAAGGTGACTTAACTGAATTACCCCAGCAGCTGGTGGCAGAGGGTTGGACCAGAACTCTTACACGGCACTGTAAAGCCATACCACAAGTGACACCAAAGCCAGATGGGCATGTTCTGTCGATGGCAGCTGAGGTACTGGAAAAAAAGCTGTGCTCTGTGTGGTTATCCAACCTCTAATATGGTATCTCCTATATTTAGCTGCCTACACTGGAAAATTTAGTCAGGACTGAACTCCAACAGCAGCCTCTATATCCCACACTCTTCCTCCCCTGCCTTTGCCAGCACACAGATAGGGTGGGTTCGCCAGGTCTGTGGTCCGAGACGTGCTGGAGGCTGCTGATCCAGGCAGCGATGTGAGGGGTTAACTGGTTAGTCTGCAGCCCTGAGAGGGGGAGGGTGCCTCCACTCTTGCACTCATTGAATAGTTTGTACAATTTATTCTGAAAGATCCATTTAAAAACAGACTCACAGGAGCATGGAAGCAATCAGAGCCACCACTGACCCACTCAGCATTCAGTGGATTTGTTTTGTTAGCATGGAAACAACAGGGCAATGCTTCTATGGGCACTGCCATAAACCAAGTACAAAACACCTGTAGTTTGAGGGGGAGCAGGAAAGCGGGTAGGAGCTACTCCAAGGAAAGGCAAGAGTCAAATGGCAATAGCCTAAGCGTTGCAGCCAGGAGCCAGGCCTCTCCATCTCTGGTTAGTGATGGCCGTAGCACAGGGGAGAGAGCACATCCTGCCCCAAACTCACCTTCTTTCTGCTTCCTCCACTGAAACTCTAGCACCACATCATCATGTCCCATAAAAGTGTGGACAGGCGTGTTCAAGTCAAAGACATTCCAGAGAAGGAGACTGTTCTCCCGGCGGAGTTGGGGGACCATCACTGTCACCAGCCCATTGCTGAAAGGCTTGAGAGAGAAACACCCTTCCAGTTAGCCTTGGGGAGTTATGCTCCCATGCTGCTGTTATGCTCTAATTTTTTCCTTTTCCTACCAAGAACGTGTGGGTTTTAAAGGAGCTCATCACAAAACAGAACCAGGCCTAAAACTGGGGGTTCCAAGGCAATTGCTGTGCAAACCCAGTGTCTTACAAGGGAAAAGATGTCATACACTTTGAGATATTCAATACAGCTCACTGAAGATTAACAATTTCTTTCTGCTGCTTCATCACTTCTCAGCTGTGAGGCTGGAGGGATTTCACCCTTGACTTTTCCCATGGGATCTCTACTGCAATTTGCCTAAAGCTGCAAGAACTGCTACCTGGGGACTGAGCCCCAGCAGCTGCTCAGGGTGGTGACACTCAGAGGAACACGGGACCCCAGTCCTACATCCTCCACCATGGGGACAGGGTAAGGGGATCAAAGGTTCAAGGCACAGCACTGGCTTTGGGGCACATTCAGATGTCTGGGGAGGAGAACGGATATGACTGATGTTAAGAGTCTTAGCTTCACATGGCTGGCTGCTAGCTCCATAAAAGGCAACAGTTCTTGGATTCGATACGCTGTAAGAGCCCACTGTGGCACACTTGGAAACCTTGGGAGTAAAGGAGGCACTCTGAGAGGGAAGAAGACTGACGCACTGCTGTGTGCAACAGGTACCAATATTGGAGCTGAGTGGAAAAACAGGACAGTGAGAGCAGCAGCCACTTTCTGAGCATCCTGCTCCCACAGCCAACGACCTGCACCTGGGTGTTCATCCCCCAGGAGGATGATGGCCAAGACTAGGATCTCATGCTGCTAAGTCATCCCTTCTCCTGAGTGGGCCTCATTGTGGATGTTGCTTTTCTAGGCCTTTTAAGCACCAACAGGGATTTTTAAAATCAACTTAATAATGTCCAGCAGTAGAACTGGTGAGAAGCCCTTCAGCATTGCTTCTTTATGCATTTCTCACAGCACAAGTGGGGCTGTTGGGAGTTTCTCACTCACCGTGTATCTTGCCTTCCAGACAGGAACCTGGCAGGGAAGAATATTGAGGTATTTCCGAGGCTGACGGTAATCCCAGAACTTCAAAAAAACCCAAAGAGACAAGCAAAGGCAGGAGTCAGCTGGCTATACTTTCAGGCTGCAGTTTTCCATGTGGCTTGCAGATATAACAGAGCGAAAAACATGCCAGGGTACCCACAGGATCATTAGTAATCCCATTCATTAACAGCAGAGATGGCCCCAAAGGACAAATATCAAGCTATCAGCATCTGGCAGCATCCCTTAGACAATGAGTGACTTGGGGTCATATTCACAGTGATCATAGCTTGAGTAATTAGAGCAGGGAGACAGGCAGCCTGCTTGGGCTTTCAGAGCTACAAGGTACCCTGCAGGCTCTCAGCCAATGTGCCAGTCCAGACTGGAGGCAGGCCCACCCTGCTGTTACTGATAATTCTGTAATGAAGAATCTAACCTTTTGCTTTGCTAGAATACACATCGATTGCATTTGCCTCAGAGCTTAGCTAAATGTGAATGAACTCCATTTGGCTGACATACAACTTCCCCCCTGGTAAGAGGCCCTGCACAGCAATGCCTGCAGGCAGTCTCTTATGGATAACCCGATTTGACATGAGTTTGGGAACCCCAGGGGCTGGAGTATGTCTCCCCTCAAGTTGCTGTAATCAGCCTGAGACTGACAGCACTGCATTTTGGGGAGAAGGCTCTTCTGGCATGTGTGACCAGCTCCGTTCTAGCAAGCAACAGGCGGAGGCTGTTGTTTTCAGCTTCAGTACTGCCCAAAGCACCACAGATATGTGGCAAACATACACGCGCCCATCCTGCAATGCCTTCTCTGCCTGTCCTGTGAGCACACCCCTGGCTCAACAAACACAGGCTGCCAGAAAGCAAAAAATAAGGATGCAGATTTTATCAACACCAAGCACCCCCCAAGACTTCAGCAGTAGAAGGGGATCTGCTCCATCATCCTGACATCTCCCAAGCAGGAGTCCCAGAAGCAACACTTACCCGGACAGAGTTGTCCTGGCTGGAAGTGGCCAGCGTATACTCATTGTCAGGATGCCAGTCCAGACCATGGATTTTAGAGAGATGAGCTGCCAAGTACTCTACTGCAGTGCTGGGTTTCTGCAAGGAAAGACATGTTCCTTCTCAGCACAGGCCTCTTGAAATTTAGTCTAGTTCGCTGGCATAAAGAGAGACAAGGGCAAGAGAGGTAGAACACCCTCCTGCTGGGGAAAGGCAAATAGCTCAGCAAAAGTAGTTGAAGAAAAGGTCCTGTGAAGGTGTGGCAAATTCCAGTCACCAAGTGCAGCCCTGAACCATACTTTATACTCAGTTAAGTACTATGAGATCAAAAGCAAAATGTTAATGGGCACAGTTTCTGGGGAGGAGGCTGTCTACATGCTCTCTTCAGGCTCATGGATTCCAAATTCTCTCTAGTTTAAATCAAGGCACAAGAGACATTTGAAATAAAGTAGTGCATTTTTCTCAGTATTTATCTGTAACCAGAGAGATGCCTGTATCGGGTAGGAGGGAATATGCACAGACTGCTCTAAAAACCCTCAGCTTACCCTTTTGTCCCATATCCGGACATCCCCATCGTGGCTTGTTGCTAAACAGTTGGTGTTTTTCTTGTTCCATTTCACCTGGGAAGCTCCAGCTGCAGCGCAAACAGAGCAAGTCAAAACAAGCAATTAAGAAGTAAATGGCACAATAGACCCTGGACCTGGGTTTAGAGCTGCTTTTCTTAGTTTAGAAGAAAGATATCCCAGAAACCAGCATGAAGGATGGCAGGAAAATGATTAACCCCTGATTCCTCAGCATAGTGTTTGTGTCATGAAGACCTCAAAGCAAGTTCCAGCTACACGCTTGGAGATCTTCATTGTAATTTCTAGCCATGGGTTGTATCCAATTAAAATACTTGCGTCCATTAGTTCAGATGGAGCAACTTCCTCCAGACAAGAACCACAGGTTCATCACCCCCTCCCAAATCCCTTCTGTTTTTATTCAAGCTGCTTCCAGGTGCTCAAGGATTGATTCATTCGTCTCCCAACACCCTATCTGATGCTATACAGGGAACCAGTGTTACTGATCTATTATTAAAATACAGGTGTAGGAGAAGGCTGGAGTGCAGGCGAGCTTCGTGTCCGGCCAGCTGGAAGTAGACTCACTGGGTGGACCAGAAGGCACAACTATGAAAATACAACACAAGTCAAAGACATCAATGGCATTGTAAAGAAAGCGGATAATGGTCCAGATGTGATTATATGATATCAGTCAAGTGCCTAAAATCAGAAGTTGGTTGGTTATTTCTAATAGGCAGCAGAATACAGCTTCAGTTGATGTAGATTGTTCAGATGCTATAAGTGAAACACATGTTCTGTTCATCCTTATTCTGCCAGTATTTTCAAAACTTTTTAAGCTCATCAGAAAGGCGAGGTCCATGAGAAAGCTAACCGGATCTCAGCCTGCTGCTATTCCCCACTTCCACTACCCACCTCCTGCTGCACCGTGAGCAGATTCATCCTGACAACCTGGCAAAAACTTAGTCCAGGGGAAAAAAAGCCGCAAAGAGGCTGCCAGTTAATTGAGCTGATTCACTCACTGAAGGTTACACAAATGTCTGGAACAACACTAAACAGAATTGGGCATGGGAGAAAGGAAACTCTGAGGAGCTAGTTGCTGGGCTGGCTCAGCTGACCTGCGAAACTTCATCCTAGCCACCAGAACCGCATACTGTTTCTCTCTGATTCAGTAAGGGGTTTGCATCGCTACAATAGAGAGGTTTGCTGGCTGGAAGGGAAGGGGGAGCCACTGCAGATGTGTAGCCTAAGGAGATCTAGGCAGCAGAGCACAAGAGACACATGTTATGAGGACGGCTGTAATACCGAGGACAGTAACTCAGGAAAAGGACGTTTTGCTCGTCATCCATACTTTGCCCAGTTCCAACAGGCAACTGGTGAGGACTGACATGCAGCACCTGCCAGCAGGTGGTACTACAGGCGGCTGGACAGTCGCACTGCCAACAGCCATGACAAGTGCCTTTCCAGAGCAAGCTCAGCCCAAAGAGAGCACCTTCGTGTCACCACTGCAGCTTCCTGCACGCTGAAGGTGCCCCAGGGAAGCAGATACAGCCAGTCAATGTACCTGGCCCCTCAGTAAGTAAGGCGCCAGGCTGGCAGTTGGCAACCTTCAACACCCCTGCCTGGGGTGCCATTTAGTTTCTCAGCTGATTCAATCAAACACAAAAGGATATGGGAGAAATTGCAGACAGGTACCACAGGACAAACAGTGCAGCAGGGTAGTTAAGCAGGGAAGAAGCTATGTCTAGAAGGGACAAATGCCATGTGATCATCCACCAGTTTCAGGACAGCCAGTCTAAGCACTGACACTGCCCTCCATGCCTGGGAATCTCTGAGAGCTCCACACCCCCCTCTGAATTCTGTTCCTCTAAAAGAAGCTGTGAACTGGAGCCTCTCAGGCTGCTCCTACATGGGACAATCACACATGGTGGCACTTCTGCACTCTGCCACGCTTACCGCCAGAGCATGAAGGGAGGGAGGAATAACAGCAGGGGCTTATGACACTAAATGTAGGCCTTAAACGAGCCTACATCACACACGCGCCATACTTACCAACTGCAGAGAGGGAGACTGTAGGCTTCCTGGTGTCTCTGAAACACAGCATGGCTAACATGAGCACCCACGGCATAGCCCAGCAGGTCCAGCCCCCCTCAAGTGACTCCTTCCTGTTCCGGGACTAATTTTATTGCTGCCTTTTGGGAGCTAATGTGCCTTCTGCTTACCAAAATACACTACATTAAACAGAATAAAGAAAGAGGTGACCAGCTGGAGGACAACAGTCATCCTGTCTTCCTACCACATACAGCAGCAAGTTTTGGACACAGGACGGATGGGTTTGGAGGGGACTGGAGGGAAGAGAAACATGTGCAAAGCATGACATGTTGCAACTGGGCAGGCAAGGAAACTGGGCTCACAAAGCGTTGCTGCAGGAAACAACAAAACGGCCTTTCCCAGGAGGATTAAAAGGAACAAACAGAGCTGTGCAAAAACTCGACAAAAGCCACTGATGTGTTTGTCAAGCCTTTGCAGACCCCAATTCAAGGCAGATGGAGCACTGACTTCAGAGGAAAGACTTCATGTCTAGCATATAACAACAAAATTAGTAGGAAATAAGCCCAGCTGTGTGCAGACTCTACAGATCAAATTCTGCAGTGGTAGAAGGCAGTGCGGCACCATGACAACTCCTAGCAGCCAGGACACGGATCAAGGCGATAATTCGCTTCTTGACCTCGCTCCTCAGGAATTCACCTGCCCTTTCATGAAAAATGCCAGTGAAAATAAGGAATATCATCTTCAGCTTTTTGTGTTTGCTGCAAAGCAGAACATTTTCTGGAATGGACTGCACCTGTCCCTCTAAGAATTTCTACCTAATCAAAAAGTTATTTTGTATGAAAAATTAAGTGGGGAATTTCCAGCTGCCCTTACTGCAGGGC